CAGACTGCCCTGTGCGTCCTTGCGTCCCCCTTCCCTGGCGTGTGCCTGCGTGGTACCTTCAATTAAGGCACTTGGAATAAAACAGTGGGGAGAATTAGTGAATGGCCAAAGGTGTTGATAAAAAGTGGAACTCGGTGTTCCCTGACAAGGGTTAACTGTTGAGCCATCTCATTAACCTGGAGGCAGCTACATTAACCCAGAGGCAGCTACGCAGCCCTTCCTTTCCTTCTAAGGCATCAAAAGATGTTTCTCTATATTTTGCTGCACTTTGCTCCTTCCTGCGCTTCCTCCAGAACAGGCAGTCCCCAGCTGTTAGTGCACAGGCTACCGCGGGATGGGGTACAAACTACCTGTGAATAAGCACATCGTAGATACCAATTCCGACTTCCGGCTCCTTAGAGTTCTGCACCAGCAGGTGTCGCCGTGGAGGAGTGAGGCCAGGGGTTTCAGGCAGATCTGCTTGGCCCCAGTGGGCTCACTGGGTCCTCCAGTCTGGGCCACAGCTCCCACCAGGGGCAGGTCTCCCTCAGGGTCCTAACTGACCTCTCCCCTTTTCTCTTTAGGCAGAGGGGTGTTGGGCCTGCAAGGCCACTGGCCCCAGAGTGCTAAGATGCCTGTCCACACCTTGCCCACACCTGTGTAAACTGTCCCTTTATTAACTCCTAAGCTACCCAGCTGGAGGCCACCTGCTTCCTGCAGGGACCTGCGTGGTACATTACTGACCCCAGCTGGGGAACACGAGGCCTTCTGAGAACTGGTTGGGATCACGGGCTCCAGGCCCCACACTTGTCCTTTCTAGCAGGGCTTTAGAGGAACATCCCAAAAAAGTCCACATGGGGCTCCCGTGACTGACACCCAGTCTCTTTCCTGACTTACACCTTGGAACTGTGGATGGACTTGTCCTCTCACCCCCAACCATGGCTTCCCCCAGAGCCTTGGGAGCTGCCTCTGTTCCCCGCATTCTTAGGTTCTCCTGCATGTTTTCCCTTACACGCCTCCTCTGCACCCATCTTCCCCTTCTTCATCAGTGGCCGGCTCTTCCCAATCAGAAACGGAATGTCCACTTTTGGGGTAACACTTAGCTTCTACTTCTCCAGTGGCACTAGCCAAGCTGGACACTGAGCTGTCCAGTTGGTAAAATGCTCTACCTGCTCACCAGATAATAAAGTTAAGCTCCCCGTGAGCCAGGTATTGTAACCCCTCAGATCTGACCACCATGTCTTTTGGCTTTTCTGTGCTCAGACATGTGGGTGAGGGATGGCTGAGGGATTGACAGATGAGTATTTGTCATCTTACTCCTCCTACAGTGGGGTGCTCAGCTTTAAGGAGTCTATTATTATCTCACTTTTACTCATCAACTTCACCTTGAGTAGCACCTTCAAAATTCATTTTTTGTCAATAAATATTATCAACTCTTCATGCACAAAAGGGTTACAATTGATGTATAAATATTTGTATTAGCATTCTGAAAAACAAAAATGGACAAATGTGGTAACAGATTTCCAACTGCACTAGAAAATTCAGTTCAATATCCCATGTCTTTTTCAGCCAGTTGATAATTAAAGAAAGGAACAGACCCCAGCTGGGGAAAATTTTTTTCTGGAGGTGAGGTGTTTGGAATGAAACGATGTATTAACAAGAAAGTGAGAGAGGGCTTGAATATCCTATATGTGTTACATTGTAAACAAGATTGTTTTAGATACATGATCTTGCCCTCCTTGAATCATTCCACATCTTATTTTTCAAGTGGAATATGATAATCCTTAGAAAAAAAATAATTTTCTTTTTTTACTTTAGCTGTACAGAGGCTGTGGTATCTTATGAGAACTATTGCTTACAAGGACATGCTATAGGTGATAAACTCTTTAAAATAACACTGCCCGGTCGTGCATATGCTGGACATAATAGAAAAAAAAATACAGGTATAGAAGAACAATTAGGAAAATTTTTAAGTCAGTCTCTCTCTCTCTCTCTCTGTCTCTCTCTCTCTCTCTCTCTTTCTCTTTCTCTCTCTCGCCTTTTAAAACTATTTTAAAATTAATCTTACAGCTACAAATAGCCTGGCTTTTACTGAATCTTCTGGAGCTGACCGATACCTAAATTTGGGTCCCGACATTCAGCTACTTCAAGGGTCTGCTGACCCTTCCTTCCCAAGACCCCTCCCTGGACATTTTTCTCTTAGTGCAATGAACGCAGCAGCACGTTTCTGAGGTCCTTTGCCCCTCAGTCCCTGGCAAGCCTCCTATTCGGTCTTGAGTCTCTATCACAGGTAGTGTGGGCATGACACCCAGCTCACCCCACGCCTCTAAGGATCCTTCAACAATCTGGCCAAGTGCTTCTTATAAACCTATGTCACGTACAGTGTGCGAGTGAAGCATCTGGATCTACCTTGAGAAGAAACAGAAGTGAATCCCCTGCACCAGACCCAGAGGTGAATCCCCTGCACCAGACCCAGAGTGTGCTCAGATATTACCAAAGTCAGTCACGACTCCAAATCATCTTAGGTGTTTTAACTATTTCAAATATTTCCATGGGTAAATAGGAGACACTGAGAAACAAGAAATGTACCCTTATTAAATGATGTTACATTAAATTGCCTTACCATTAAAACCATGGCAAGAAAGCAGTGTGATTAAAGACTGGAATAAAACCTTTACTGAAATGGGGGAGGGGAGTGGGCTACCTGCTTTGCCATTGACCCCAAGTCCTCACACACACCCCTTTACTTTAGTTTTTGACCTCTCAGCTTCCCTTTGAGCAGAGGGGGGCTGCTGTTATTTCAAGTCTGAACCTTCGGAATTCATATTCAAAATCCTTGAACATTATAATTAGACTATTTTTTTCTAATTTGAAAACATGGCAAATGTTTTCAAGGTGTTTTAAAAAACATGTTTGTTTTTTTGTTTAATTTTTAACCTTATTCTTGCCATGGGATTTTTTGGTAGTGATGGTTTTCATTTTTTTTTTTTTTAATTTTTGTTGTTGTTTTCCTCTTGAATCTTGAAACTTTCTTCCTCCAGCAGCTCACACTGGGACTCTATTGTATGGTGTGAATAAACACCTACTGAACCCCCAGTCCAGACAGACCCCCCAGGCTGCTCCTGCTGTTTCCTGACTCCTAAAGATATGCATACTACTCTCCCTGGTCTACCTTGATCATAGCCCTTATCACTACCTATTAATATACTTGATACATATTTCCCATTGTTACCCTTAATTTGAAGTTGACAAGAGAACAGCCAATTGAATAATAGTCATGAGACAAGGAGAAAAAGTCAAACTATCCCTAATAGAACTTTGCTGATGAAAACTGAACTTTTCATTATTCTTATCCCAAAAGTGTTCGGTCAGGATAGACAATCCACCTGTCTGAGGTCGTTATTTGGCCTACATTAGGAAAAATATATATGATAGTGTGAAAGACAGAGTTGTTCTCATGTGGTCAAAAAGGCTCCATCCAGAGTTTTTCCAAAGCAGTGAAACAAATTTCATTACTTTCAAAGTGCTATGAAAACTAAGCATACGTGTGTATAAGTAAATGTCTCCCTGCTCTGAATGCAGCTTTCACTGTCTGTCCCCACTGAAACCACAGGCTTTCACATAAATTTAATGAGTTAACCTTATATCATTGGTCAAAGGAATGAAATCCTTTGGTATCTCAGCTTCTGACACTGTAATGGATCTTCTGGATTCCGTGATTGTGCGTAATCACACTCTGCGTCAATGTAAGATGCATTCAGGGAACAGACTCCCTCACTGGGCCAGGTGCTGAGTTAGACACCTGATAACTGAGCAAGCCCCTCACCTGTGGAGCTTCAGCTGAATGGGGCATAAAGCCATTAGTCAGACAAATGCCAGTGGCCATCACAAATGCAGACAATTGATAAGAAGAAATGTGCTATGAGAGCATGTATACCAGAAGCTGCTCCAGCCTAGGTGTGGGAAAGGTGTCTTGAAGGAAGCATTTTAAACAGAGAGAAGCGGTCAGTTGTTGACTAAGGGAAAATGGAAGTACGGAGAGGAGAATGTTTAAATGTTTCAGAGACTGGCAATATGGACAAGAGATTTGGGAATGTTTGCCTTACAGCTTAGTGTAACGGCTTTAAAAAACTTGTCTTTTGGAGTATTGCATTGACTTTTGCTGCCAAATATTTAAATATACTTGGTTTATGATTATTTATTAAGCTATATTTCTGAGCAGTTCATGTGTCATAAAGCATGGAAACTTGCATTTTATTATCTAGGTATTGGAAAAATCAATAGTAGGAAATGAGCTTATGGCATTTTAACTATTTTGGGCCAACATTTCACACTTGTTATATACTGATTTGGTCATTTTGACCTAAGGAACAGAATGACATGAAACAAAGAGGCCAAAAAGTGCAGGGAGTTGTGTGTCTGATGAACCCAGAACCCCTGAGCCAGAGGCTCCTTTGTGAGCTAATTCCCTTATTTTTTTAATTTATTTTTTTTATTTATTTGTTCTAATCAGTTATACATGACAGCAGAATGCTCTTTGATTCATTGTACACAAATGGAGCACAATTTTTCACTTCTCGGTTGTACACGAAGTAGGGTCACACCGTTTATGCAATCATATATGCACCTAGGGTAATGGTATCTATCTCATTCCACTGTCTTTCCCATCCCCAATCCCCCTTGCCTCTCCTCCCTCCCCTTTGGCCCATCCGAAGTTCCTCTACTCATCCCATGCATCCCCTCATTATTGATTATCATCCACTTCTCAGAGAAAACATTTGGCCTTTGGTTTTTTGGCAGAGCTCATTTCTTTTGAAGATCTCAGTACATTTTCATCATTCTGTCGGAAGTGTGCATCCTTTTAGGGACAAAGGAGGAAACGTTAACCAAATTCACAATTTATTAGCCCACTTTTCAGGTATGCTTACTGAGTTCTGGTTCATTGTACAGTTCTGACTCTTGATCACTTGCCAAATCAATAATGGAAAATGAATGGCTTGATTGCTCTGTTACCTCAACAGTTATAAACCAAGATGGGCAGCCTCTCATCGAAGGGAAACTGAAGGAGAAGCAAGTCAGATGGAAGTTCATCAAAAGGTGGAAAACTCGTTACTTTACACTGGCTGGAAATCAACTTCTGTTTCAAAAAGGAAAGTCAGTAAGTTCTTCCATCAACTTTTATGCTTGTATTTTTAAAGTCTTGACCTCCACCTGCTGCTTAGTTAAACTTTCAATAATTTATAATCCTACATACAGTATTATTTTATTGCAGATGTCCTTTTTTTCTTTTTTTAATATTTATTTTTAGTTGTAGGTAGATACAATATCTTTATTTCATTTTTATGTGGTGCTGAGGTTTGAACCTGGTGCCTCGAGTGTGCTAGGCAAGCACTCTACCACTGAGCCACAACCCCAGCGCCCAGATGTCCCTTTTTCTACTCCAATCCCCATATTAGTGGGCTCACAGTCCCCCTTCAGTTTACTGTGGAAGCTTTTTTTTTTTTAGTTGACTTAAGCTTTAGAAATTGAACTAAAGAGCAATTGACTCAAACATGGTGCTGTAAATTTTCTTATGTACCACCTACAGAAATTTATGGCTTATGATATTGACTCTGGTTTTTAAGAGAGCTATAGGTTATATGTGGAGGGCCAAGGAAGGGGAATGGTAAGCAGGAAGGAAGAAATAAAAGTTGATTTAAGTATCTTTTATATTAACAAAGTTTAATTTTTATGTTATTTATTTATTTGCTTATTTATTTATTTTTGGTACTGGAGATTGAACCCAGAGGCACTTATCCCCAGCCCCTGCCTCCCCCCCTTTTTTTTAGTGGTGCTAGGGATTGAACCCAGGGCCTTGTGCATCTGAGGCAAGCACTCTACCAACTGAACTATATCCCCAGTCCCTCTCAATCCCTTTTTATTCTTTAATTTGAGACAGTCTTGCTAAGTTACTGAGGCTGGCTTTGAACTTGCGATGCTCTTACATCAGCCTCTTGAGTCCACCAGGATTACAGGCCTGCTCCACCATGCCCAGCTAACAAAGTTCAATTCTGATTAGGAAAAAGATTACTATCTTTCATTCACTTGACATTTAGTTTATGAATAGAATAGAATACTAACAGAATTAATAAATATTAATGTAATTTAAAATCTGAGACAGGATGCTCAGTAAATACCTGGATTCTATACTTTCAGTGAAAGTCCTCTGAAATAGTATCCTATCTCAGTCAAGAGGTACAGGTATCCTCTTTCTTTCTTTTTATGACAGTTTCATTCATTATTAAACTCTACTTATTCAGGATTGGAGCATGGAATCTTGAACTACTTCTTGGCTGTTTTGAAACCTAATCATAATAGCAACTATTCAGTGTCTGCCATGCGCCCCACTGCACAGCCTCACACAGCCTCAGAACAGTGCTCCAAGGCCAGCACTGCTATTACAGTCACATTGCCAATGAGGACTGTGAGACTCCAAGGGCAGCACTGATAGAGTGAGGGAGGGTGACACTGGATTCCAGCTCAGGCTGTGGCACCAGAGAATGTTCTTAAATGAGGGTACACGCTGCTTCCCATGCACACTTAAAACATGCAGCCAGGGATGTATTATTAGTCAGCAGCCTCCAAAGACACAGAACAATGGCATCGAGAGACACACAGAGGGGATTTACTGTAGAAATCAGCTCACATAATTATGCAGACTGAGACGTTCCACAAGATGTATCTGCAAGTTAGAGCACCAGAAAATGACAGTATAACTGAGCCCAAGACCTAAGGCCTGGGAAGCAAGGGAGCAATGGTGTAATCCCAGACTGAGGCCAGGGGCCTAGAACTGGGGGTGAAAACAAGAGAGGGACGGCTTAAGTACCAGTGTCCAAAAAGATCCAAGAACAGGAACTCTGCTATCTGGGGTCAGGAGATGGATGTCTCAGCTCAAGAAGAGAGAGCAAACTAGCCCTCCCTCACTTCTTTTGTCTTTTTGGATTGGATTAGATAATGCCCACCCATATTGGTGAGGGTAAGTCTCCTTTACTCATTCAAATCTCTTCTGGAAACACCCCCACAGATGCACTCAGAAATCATATTTTAACAACTAGCTGGGTATCCACTAGCCCAGTCAAGTGGACACATACACTTAACCACCACAGAAATCAAAAGATGCCTAATTAATTAATGAAAGATGTTAAATTAGTTAAAAATCACAATTCACTCTGGATATATGCATCATATATTTATAGTTCTCATTACAACTTTATTTGAAAATTTTACCCAAGGGGCTGGGGATGTGGCTCAAGCGGTAGCACGCTCGCCTGGCATACGTGTGGCCCGGGTTCGATCCTCAGCACCACATACAAACAAAGATGTTGTGTCTGCCGAAAACTTAAAAAATAAATAAATAAATATTAAAAATTAAAAAAAAAAAAAAAGAAAATTTTACCCAATAGAAATTAAGTATGGTACATCACAAATTCCAATCTATGCTCTTTAAATTAATAAGACTTTTTGCTAGGTTTTAAAAATATTTTTGCAACACTTTTAACTCACATTACTTCCTTAATCTGTACTGTAACATTCCAAGGGGAGTTTTTCTGTGACTGAAGATCTTTTTTTTTTTTAATTTTTTTTGTTTTGTTTTTTGTTTTAGGTGGACACAATATCTTTATTTAATTTTGTGTGGTGCTGAGGATCAAACCCAGTGCCTCGAGCCATGCCAGGCCAGCATGCTACCACTTGAGCCATATCCCCAGCCCCAGATCTTTTTGAAATTAAAGTATAATGGCAACTTCAACTTAAATGAATTTTGGAGGTTTGAAGAAAAATCCTTTTAGCCAGGTTCACATTGAAGCATTTTTAAAGTACTTAAAATGATCATCTGAATTTCCTGCATTTGTTCAAGAAATCTGGAGATGTAATGATTTCTCCTTAAGAGAAATCAGAGTTAGTCTATAAGGATATTTTTCTAGAACACAAATAATGACATATACTTTTAAACTCAGGACTCTGTTTTGGGGGTTTTTTGTTTTGTTTTTGCTTTTAAACAGGGATTGAATCTGAGGGAACTTAACCACTGAGCACTGAGCTGCATCCTACTTTTTATTTTATGGTTCCCCCCCCACCCCAAGACAAGTCTCTCTAAGTGTTTAGGGCCTTGCTAAATTGCTGAGGCGGGATTTGAACTTGCAATCCTCCTACCTCAGCCTCTCAAGCCACTGGAATAATAGGTATGCACACAGTGCCTGGCTTAACTCAGACTTTTAAGTAAAGTTTAAAGAATAAGGTATTTTTATTTAAGGTTTTGGGATTGGTTTGATCTGGGATTATTGTGTTATTTTGTTTTGTTTTGTTTAGCCCAGGTAGTAAATTTATAGATCTTATGTTAAACTAAAAAAAAAGAAGAAGAAAAGAATAAGCTATTTTACAATCAGTAACTTGTTTGACATCTTGTCAGGGAATAATGGTTTGGTATTCCAAAAATCTGACAGAACATGTGGCTCAAATTGTAGGAAATAATGTGATACAGCATCAAGACCACAGCAAAATACCTCTAATCTCCAGGGATACAATCTGCCAGTGGTCATCAGCTGAAACTTCAGCCACATCATTAAAAAAAGTCATTCTTTTATGAGGGAAATGTGTGTTTTTTAATTAAAACTGAGGCTGAAAGATCATAGTGCAATTTTTTTTACTTTTGCATCCTTAGGGTCTTGATTTCCACCAACCAGCTCAGCTACAGTGTCCTTTACTTTCTGTTTATTCCTATTTTAATTGATTCACTGTACCTCCTCAGGTTACTATGGTAATTTTTAAATTTCCTCATCAGTTCCCCCATGTATCAATTTCTCTACCTCAGACTAATTGGAAGAAATATAATTTTATTACTTTAATTTAAACCAAATTCAACTAACAAAGCATTGTCTAGAGTATGCATCTTCAGACTTTCTCCTGCGAATACCCTAAAGTGATTTTGAAAAATTTGTGCAATACCTTGCAGCATTTTCAGTTGCATCAACACCTTCATCATAAGTTTTAGCAGATGCACAGACTGTAATTTCCATTGTATTATAAATATCGACACTTAAAAATAAAATGACCCTACAGGGTGTGTAATCCCAACAGCTTGGGAGGCTAAGGCAGGAGGATGGAGAGTTCAAAGCCAGCCTCAGCAATGGCCAGGCACTACACAACTCAGTAAGACCCTGTCTCTAAATAAAATACAAAATGGGCCTGGGGATGAGGTTCAATGGTTGAGGGCCCCTGAGTTCAATCCCCAGTCCTTGAAAATAAAAAATTTAAAAAAAAAATTCCTCTCTCTCCTTTAAATATACTTATTAAAATAAAATATCACAACACATTGGTATCTGACATCATCCATTAATTTTTAAAAATAATATAAATTAATATTTTCATAGAGATATTTACATTGCTTCTTTTTTTCCTTGAAATAATATTTCTGTTGTATTTCCCCACAGAATTTACCCCAATTGCCCTATAATTTTCACTATAATGAAACTATATATAAATTGAAATTTAATTGTTTTAACTCCTTGCGATCATCAGTCTCTAGATATTAATATATTCTGATTAAGTTATTTTTCTTAGAGTTTACATCAGTTACGAAAATTCATAAGTCTAAAGCCAAATTTAATAAGCAATTATTAGACATTAGAAAGGAAAATGTTATGTCTTGATGAAGTGGGTGGAGAGCGGCTGCTTGGTTGACAGCTATTTCCGGGCCACCAGTATGTTAAATTGATTTTTTGTGTGGCGCGCCTGAGATTTATCCAAGTGGAACAACACACCATGAGGAGGCTGTGAGGGCCGGGAAGGGTGCCTTTTCATGGCAAAGTGAAAGAAGGGTACTTGGAAAGGGGGGATGGAGAGGAGAATGGACAAGATTCTCAACCACTGATAACTCACCAGTAGACAAAATGTATTCAGGAAGCTTGAAGACCTGAAATTGCTTTCCAGAAATATTTAATTGCCTTCAGACAATTGTGCTAGCCCAGTGTGAGGATCCTGGAGTTGCAGAGAACCTTAAGCCTCTGTTTTCATTAAAGACAAATGCTGCTTCATTCAATATTCTTTCATCTAGTGTATATAGGCAATACATGTTTCCAAAAGTTTGGAGGAGGTTTGGAAAAGTTTCATCTACTCAAACATTGGACCCCTGTTTGTTTATTCCATTACAGTCTCATCCATCCCTTCCTCAGAGGTAGCACAAAGGAAATTTCAATGTTGTGCCTCCTAAACTCTGAAATTCAGAGTTAGTAGAACTCCAAATTGGACTGCTGTGTTCACTAGAAAATGACAGAAAATCAAAGCACTCTCCCCCCCCCCACATGATAATGACATTCTATAGATTGCTATCTTGTGTCAACTTAATGGATACTACAACAACGTCCCAATTGCCTACTCCCTTGGTTTTCTACTGGCTCTTCAAGGCTTTCGTATCCCAAACAGCAAAGGTCTTGGGTCACAGGAAGCGAAAGGGTCAGCCCTCCTTTAAAAATCCCCTGGCAGCCAGGCACTGTGATGCACACCTACAATCCCAGCAGCTCAGGAGCCTGAGGCAGGAGGATCGTGAGTTCAAAGCCAGCCTCAGCAATGTATCGAGGCACTAAGCAACTCAGGGAAACCCTGTCTTTAAATAAAATATTTTAAAAAGCTGGGGATGTGGCTCAGTGGTAAAGCGCCCCTGGTATTCAACTCCTGGTACCAAAAAATAAATAAAATAAACCCCCTTGGAAGCCAGAGGCTTAGCCTACAGCAGCACCCAGCTCATCTTCTCTCCTCCCCATGCATTTCAGAAAGATGATCCCGAAGATGCCCCATTAGAGCTCAGCAAGGTACAGAGTGTGAAAGCCGTGGCCAAGAAACGCAGGGACCGCTCTCTCCCCCGGGCTTTTGAAATCTTCACAGACAATAAAACCTACGTTTTCAAGGCCAAGGATGAGAAGAATGCAGAAGAGTGGCTGCAGTGCCTCAGTGTGGCAGTTGCCCAAGCCAAAGAGAGGGAAAACAGAGAAGTGACCACGTATCTGTAGGGACTTCCACTCCAGCCTCCCAGGAGCATGCCCAGTGGGCCTTGCCGGGGCAAGGAAAGGAGAGAAATGCACCAGGTCAGGCTGTGTCCTGCTGAATGCTGTGGGGTAGTCCTCCCTAAGAAGAAGCGCCTGCAGGGGCAGAGTTCTCAGTAGGCGTCACACCCTAAGCCTGCTGTCAGGACTTCTGTCTGAAGCCAGGAGCAGCAGGAGCCACAGAGCACCCCCTCAGGGCTGTGGGCTAGGAAGGCAGAGTCCCCAGTACAGGAACTCCTGTAGAAATGCCTTTGAAACTATGAAAACAACTTCCAGTGAGGCTGAACTACCTGAGGAAGATTGGTGCTTCATGAAAACCAGTCTGCCAAAGGTATTAAGAGAAAAAAAAGCTATTAGAAAAAACAATAAAAAATTATTATTGAAATAATAAAAATAGCTTTTTTTTTAATTAGGAAAAGTGGAAGTAATGTACACTGAAGAAAATCATTCAACTTACTACAGACACCTAACCACATTTATCCTCTCTGTATGAAGGAGGCTAAACATGGTAAAAACGGTTCTCAAAGTAAGCCACTTATGAAAGTAAATGTCTGTCTTTCAGAACTACTTATTTAATTATCCCTTGGTTCTTATAATCTAAAGTTTAGAGACTTGGGCCCATCTCCTGCCCAAGGCAGTCGGAGAAGATGAAGAAAGCATAGGAAACTATTTTCTCCATCTTTCAACTATGTGCCATCTCCAGTGAACTCAAAGATGTTAAATTAAAGTTCTGTACTTTTCTTTGTTGTATTCAGCCTGGCAGCATCTCCAGATGACATTTATTGGTTTTCACATATATGCTTTTTTTCTTTATAATTAAGTGGTGGAAGGCAGAATTCTAGGATGACTTCCAGTGCCCCATGCCCTGGTTTAACACTCCACCACTTGAGCGTGGGTGGGACCTGAAACTGGTTTCTAATAAAAAAAAAAAAACGATAAAAGCAATGGAATATTCTCTCCCAAGATAATGTCATATTATGGCAAAAGTGAAGAGAGTTTTGCAGACGTAATTAAGGTCCTTAATAAGCTGGTTTTGAGTGAATCAAACATGTATTTTCCTGGGCAGGCTTGACTGAGTCAGGTTAAGTTCTTTAAGACAGAGTGAGCCCGTCCACAGCCTTCCTCCTGGCCTTGAATAAGCATGCTGCTGTGAGTCCAACTGCTGCAAGGAAATAAAGTTTACTATCAACCACTTGATCTTTGAAGAAGATTTTTAGCCTGAGAAGAGAGCCTAGCGCCAGGTCACCACTTCGACTGCAGCTTCATGGGACACTCATCAGAGGACTAAGCCATGCTTGGACTCCTGGCCCACAGCAACTTTAAGATGACAAATGTATGCTGCTTTAAACAGCTAATCTGTGGTGATTTGTTATGCAGTGATAATTAATACTTCTAGAAGCTCATTTGGAATATACAGAGGATAACTCTCTTTATTTGAAATTTATTTATTATGTAATCTAGAAGCCTGGAGGAAGATTATAGTCAGTACCCTGACTCTACTGCTAATTCACCAGAATGGGAAACACAAAAGTAATCATGTTTGGGGCTGAGGTTATGGCTCAGGGGTAGAACGCTTGCCTAGCATGTGTGAGGCATTGAGATCGATCCCCCGCACCATATAAAACTAAAAAAAAAATGAAATAAAATAAAATAAAGGTATTGTGTCCATCTACAACTAAAAAAAATTTTAAAGTAATTATGTTTGACAAAGAAACTTAATTTTAACTTGTAAAATTTGAATATATTGTAAGATATAGAAGTTATTATGCATTGGAAATAGAGTTCTAGAGGTCAAATTCTGGCTTCACTGGGTATACAGATAGTTGCTAAAGATGTAGAACTAAATGAAATTATGCAAGGAGAATAAAAAAGAAATAATAATTAATAAGGACCCCTTAGGACACCAGCATTTAAGCAAAGGCAAGCTGGATTCACTGGCTAGCATTCAGAGATGATGTAGGCCAGGGCACAGAGAGCCACAGAAGCCCAATTAATGATTTCCAGAAGAAGGGAGGGACCAACGATCTGAAATGCTGAAGAATAGTCACTCAAGATAAAACTACACTTTCTTTGGAAGCAATTGATGTCATTGGGAAAAATAATGTCACCGTTGTGCACGGTGGCAGACACCTGTAATCCCAGCATCTTGGGAGGCTGAGGTAGGAGGATCACAAGTTCAAAGCCAGCCTCAGCAACAGTGAGGCGCTAAGCAACTCAGTGAGACCCTGTCTCTAAATAAAACACACAATAAAGCTGGGGATGTGGCCTAGTGGCCAAGTGTCCCTGAGTTCAATCCCTGATACCCACCCCACCAAAAAAAGAACAATGTCCCTGGAGTGAACTGAAGAATTGCTGGGAGTCAGGAATTTAAAGTTACAATTGAACTAATCTTTCAAAACAGTGGTCTAAGATACTAAGACACTAGGGAAACACAGAAAGTGCTTCTGTGTTTGACTTGAAACCCAGAATGCCTCCCTCACTGTTTCCCAGTGGTGGTAGGGGATGAGCTAGACCAAAAGAACTGTTAGGAACCTTTTGGGCAAGCAAGGAGCAAAGGATCAGTAGAGGGAACAATTCTATGAAGGTAACAGAGAGAGAAAAACATGCTCCATTTGCAAAGTGGCCAATTCTTAAGATGATAAAGGACCATTCAAAGATTTTAAGCAGGTTTGCATTTAGAAATATGTCCCTGGGCTGGGAATATAGCTCAATTGGGAGTGTAGAGTGTAGAGTGCTTGCCTTGCATGCACATGGCCCTGTGTTCAATCCCCAGCACCACAAAAAAAAAAAAAAAAAAAAAAAAACTGGAAGAAAAAGAAAAAGATAACTCTGACAGTTGTATGAAAATGGATTGTATGGCTATTAAAATTTGTATCAGGGAGACCACTTTTTTCAATGAATGTGGAGGCTTTGAGGTAGAGGCTCCGGGAGCGGTGTCACAGCAGAGGAACTAGAAATGGTGCTGTAGTTTGGATGTGGTTTGAGTGTGTCCCTCAAGGGCTCATAATTGGATCTTGGTCCTCCATGCGCAGTGTTGGGAGGTGGTGTGGAACCTCTAAGAAATCGGGCCTAGTGGGAAGTAATTAGATCATGAAGGGCAATGCCTTGGAAAAAGATGATGTAGTTCTCTGGAAACCCTAGTTAGTTCTGTAGAAAGGGTTGTTATAAAAAAAAAAAAAAAAAAGCCTGACACTTCTCCAGCCATTCTGGTTTCCTGTCTTGCTATGTGATTAGTTCCTTTTACCACTGAAATGCCATCTGCCATAGGTCCTGATTAAAGTCAAGCCAAGGCCAATGCCCCATGCCCTTGAACCTCCTAAACTATGCACTAAATAAACCTCTTTTCTTTACAAAGTTCTCAGCCTCAGATATTTCATTATAGTAAAGGACAAGGGACTCATACAAATGGAGAGTCAGGGAAATTGAATTGGTAAAAATGGACGGGACAGGTGATGGGATGGAGCTGTAGTCATAGGAATGGAAAGGAGTCAGCTGACTCCAGAGGGCTTGCTTGTGAAGCTGGGTGGTTGGTGGTGGCACTCACTCATAGAAAATTCAGAAGCAACAGTTGGAGACATAAAGCAGATGGTAGATTTAATTTTTTTCTTCCTTTTTTTAACTTTTCTTATGTTTCTTTCTAAAAGAGACTGATGTTTTTCATTAAATTAAACTTGCTTTAACTGGCACACAAATCTTGTACATATTAATGGGGCATCCTGTGATGTTTTGATCCATGTATAAATTGAATAATCAGGTTAAATGTATCCATCAATTTAAACATTTATCACTAATTCATTGCAAAACATTCAAAACTCTTTCTTCTAGTTTATTTTTGTTGGGTTTTTTTTTTAAATATGCAGTGCAAAAATCATTATCTATAGTCACCTTACTGTGCAACTGCACATCAGAACTTCTTACTCTTAGGTAACTGCAACTTAATACCCTTTGGTCAACCTTTCCCCATGAATTTAGTTTTGATGTGTACATTCAGAGTATAGACAGGCAACTCACCTTGGACTAGGGGGATATCTCCTGCATGAAGTTGGGAGAGACAAGGTTGAGAACAGGTGTAGTTGCAAATGATTCTCTAAATGTTGTTTTTAAATCTACCGCTCTGAAGAGTTAGTGAATAACCCCAGCTATTCTAATAAATTATGAAACCTAGTTACAGACAAATAGTCACAAAGTGGGATGGGTCTGCATTAGTTATTGACAATTTGGATACCAACAACGTGCTCAAACCTTGCATGGTGAGGGTTGTGGTCAACAGTGGCCATGTGCTGCCCCTTTCCTCAATGAATATATGGTCTGAGAAAGAGGAAGGTGGTTCTGCCAGTTTAATTGGGAGGAAGAATTACTTCTACTACTTATCACAAAGTCCTGGTGATTTAGTTAACCGTGCTCTACTTTAGAACACAACTCTCAGTGCCCTTGAACAGATCTAAAAAGAAGTAAATGTGTGAAGTACAAATAACAATTTCACTTCATGATGCAGACATTCCAAATGCAAGCAAATTCTCCTGGGCTCATAATCAAACGAGGATTTTCAAAACCATCATCTTCCCATGGATATTTCTGGCACTTCAGTGACCACAGGCTTACCACAAACCAGCCTTCCCCAAGAGAACTGCCATTGCTGACCTGATCTAAACAAAACCATTTTTCTAAAAATGTTGAAACCTCAAAAAAAAAAAAAATGTTGGTATGAATAAAATGATATTTGTGGAAGGAAGTTCAAGTGGTTTCATTTTTATTTCATTTTGATTCTTCTCCTCTCCCAGATAGCCTTGGTAAACCTGTTAAGTATTTCATCCAGTTATTTCTTGAGAACTTAGAGTTCAGTGAAAATAAATGCTCAATACTTTTCTAATATTGAGATTTCTGGAAAATACTTGGTTGTCAAAGCTGAGGAGCATTTCCTGGGTCATCTTCAATTCACCTCCTTCCAATAGGCACAGTCAGGTCTATTTGCAGTGCTGACTTGTTCTCTGGCATAAATAAAAATCACACAAGTAAGGAGGCATTTCCCAATCTCGGAAGGAATTCAAGGTGTATTACAGAGAAGTCAACACCACGGCCTAAATGCCCTGAAAAGGATCTCCAGTCCCCCAAACCTAAAGTTTTTAGGTGGAAAACCAAGAATAACCTAAGATATCTTATTCCATAACGAAGCTAGTATGCGGAGCCCTTAGCACCACTTCTCCCCAAACACGTCCTGAGCGACAGAGGGGTTGGAACACCAGGAAGATGGCTCTGAAGCAGTGCAGTCGGGAAACTGGCACGGGCTTGGGTGTGGACACGAGATTCTAAAACTAGATCATTAAGCTGAGCAAGTTATCCATCTTTCATCACTAGAATGGGCTTAACCATATCTGCAGATCAGAACCAGTGAGAGACACATGTCATGTAAAAGCATAGAGCAGAGAATCTTTAACTTAGTGGGTGCTTGAAAGAGTCACTCCACTTTTTTTATTTTTGTATCCAGGACTAAACCCAGGGGTGCTTAACCACTGAGCAACATCCCCAGCGCCCCCCCCCCCCCCGCCACCGCTTTTTGTGTTTTTTTTTTAATAGGGTATCATTAAATTGCTGAGGCTAGCCTCAAACTTGTAATCCTCCTACCTAAGCCTCCCAAATTGCTGGGATTACAGGTGTGCACCACCATGCCCAGCTCCCTTTATATATATATATATATATATATATATATATATATATATATATATATATATATATAAAATTTACCATTAAGGACAAAATCTTCCTAAAGAAACTATGATGCAAGTCTTAATGATAATTCTGAGTAGTGTTGTTACTTCAAACATCATATACATATTCTGAGGGATTTGGCAGTTACTCCCACTTTAGGTACATGAGTTGGTATGAGATAGGTAACTATTTTGTGTCAATTTCAGCAAGAAAATGAAACATGTTTTTATCTCCCAGTGAGTGTCTTCCTTAGGTAAAACATTTGGTTGTTTCTTTGCAAGACCATTTGGAACTCTGGTCCCTCCTCCAATGGTGGCTCATTGGCTTGCTAATATCACATTTAATCTCCGCTTCTGTGTTTCAAAATCAAATGGCTTTTGATTTTGAAATCAAATCATACTGCAACTCATTTAAGATCTACTAAACAGCAATTAACACATACAATGTCAACCATCCACATAACTTAATGGAAGTGACTTCAAAAGGTAATGGGTTAATGGTTAAAAATCCATCTATATACAATCATTTTCAAAAGTATGAGATCAGCCATTCCTGTGCTGCTTGCCTTCTCTTCCAAAAGGAATAAGCACACAGACCATGCTTCTGGTACCTATATATCCCCTTCCTGGGCTTTTCTTCATCCAACCCCCTTCCCTGTTAGGAAAGCTGGGTAGGGAATGGGCCAAGATGGCAGAGGTGGTACATCCTTCTGTTACCAGGTTTTGCAAGGCCCTTCAGCCATGTACTTGGCACAACAGCAACTGGCTCTGGTGGAAGACTTCACTCCCAGAGACTGCCAGGAGAACCCAGCCTTGGCACACACATTCCATATTGGCATTTTTCTCATTCCCACTCCAGCCCCAGTACATATTGAATTTGTTTATTTCCAAGAAATTTTTTTGGGGGGTATGAGGAGGAAAAGCTAGAAATCCTGGGACTTTCTTGCACAATTATCTATAAAATGATAAACAGACACATTGTGTTTACATAGCTCCTTTATGTTTTTTTGAACAAAACTTTTTTTTTTGTACCAGGGATTGAACCAACAGCACTTAACTACTGAGCTACATCCCCAGCCATATATATATATATATATATATATATATATATATATATATATATATATATATATTTTAAGATACAGGTTTGGCTGAGTTACTTAGGGCCTCTCTAAGTTGCTGAGGCTGGCTTTGAACTCAAGATCCTCCTGCCTCAGCCTCCCAAGCTGTTGGGATTACAGGCATGGGCCACTATGACCAGCTAGACCAAACTTTTTAAAGCTCACATCAAATAAAAACGGATTCCTCTGCCTTTCAATCAATAAAATAATTAGAATTCACTTTAGTACAGAGAATCTGGAGGAGTTATAAAAGTACTCAAACAATGTAACAATTGTGAAGTAATCAAATAAATAGCAGGCTCATTCATTCACAGGAATCACAGTCCTCCAGGAGACCTCATTAGAAACTAAGGGCAAAGGAGGTTAGCAACTATAAATTCTAATTTTTCTTTTCTTTTTTTTTATTCTTTTGGAATTCTTTGTTACCTTATTTTTTTACTTGTTAATCAGTCCGCTCATGTTAGTAGAATATCCATAGTACACATCACACACACACACTTTGACACAGGTATTATGATACAATAATTATTTTCACATGCATTTTGTAGACATCAATCTTACTGTTCATTATCTCCTATTAGATTTATGTCTCTATTCTCTCTATTTCCTCTTGGCTGGAATTTCATGTAATCAGAAGAAACTCTATGTGTGTTGCTCAGTGCTTAACAGAGATTCACTTTCTACACACCAGATTTCCTTTGGGAATATTCTATTCCCTCTTAATTCAGAGCTATTATAATATGGAGGAAATTATCTAAATGTCTTTTCTCTCACAAGAGAAAAACAATGATTCTGTTTGCCAAGCTAGCTCATAAACCCAAAGATCAGAATGAGTCCCATCTTTTTAATTTAGCAAAAACCAGCTTGGAAAATTATCCTGGAAAATTATAATGCTGAGGGTATGTGCATCTTAAGAGCTGATTTGAGGGCTGGAGTTGTGGCTCAGTGGTAGAACACTTGTCTAGCACACGTGAGGTACTGGGTTCAATCCCTGGTGCCACATAAAAATAAAACAAACATATTGTGTTCATCTACAACTAAAAAATATTTTTAAAAAAAGAGCTGATTTAAGAGTATTTTAACCAGGACTCAATCAGATAGTTCACAGAGGAATATCTCATGATTTTCTGTGGGAATTCTGTGTTTGGTATTGGGGTCTACAAACTTTGTGATTGTGACATACTTGGTGACTAGGAAGCTTCTGTGCAGACACAGAATGCCTGGCTGCTAGGAGATACCTAGCTAGTGGGAAACTCCTGCACAAAAGCGTAGGGTCCCTGGCTGCCATAGCATTGTCCTTCATAAGCTTACTCTGCTGCCCAGACCTGGGGTGCACAGGCTCCTCCCTCCGAGGTAATAAGACAACTCTGCAGGCGCTCTCTGGTCTCCATGGTGATGCCCTGGAGAATGGGGGCCCCTGTTTGTTCTAACCTGGACCTTATCTCAGTTAGCTAGCACTCAGGGTTAAAGAAATGCTAATCAGAATGTAGTCATGGTAATGGGAGGTAGATGTTCTTTGAGTTAATCAACTCCCAGGCAGGGAGGGGCCGACACTTCACTTCCACACTTCTTCTTCACCACTTCACTCCTCTCCTCTCCACTCTTCCTGTCTATATGCTTGCGCTTTGGGTGTCTGTGTCTGTTCTTTGTGTGCCCCCTCGCAGGGATTCCTCCAAGTTTTGGGCCCCACTACATATTGTTGCCTCCTGAGATCCTACCATTGCATCAACCTCAGGTGGATACAAATCAGATTCTGCCACCGCCAGTGCTGCCACAGTCCGGCTCCAGTGCAAGAAGTCACTGGCAGAATGCAAGGCAGCCGAGCGAACTAGGCCAAGCTCTTCTAAGAAACTTACCATTCACTCAACACAGGCCAGGCTGTTGGAGTTGGAAGAATCATAGCTTGCTGAGTCCCACCTCCTCCCGCTGTAATGGCGCCCTCTTGTCTTCATGGCAAGTATTGTTTCCAGCTACTCAAGTCCTTCTAGGGACAGAGAGCCCATTATTTTATCCTCAGTCCACATCTTTTTAAAATGTTTTTTGATTATAAAAACAATATTATAGAAAATTCAGAAAACACACAAAAACTATTAACTTATAATAGAAATTACTCATAATCAATCAGAGAACCCAGAAATACTCCACAGAAGGGTTCAAATATGGTTCTTATTGGGTTACTCAGCGTTTATATTTGTTTTCTAGAAAACTCTGCCTTTCCATAATTTCTCCCTTCAACCTGGTTCTCTGTCCTGCAGCCACAAATGGCTTCTGCTCCCTTCACCGAGGCATTCATTTAACAAGCTGAGCATTCAGCATATGCCAGTCACTGGAACTCAAGGATAATCAATAAATTGTCCATGCCATTAAGAAACTTAGCAAATGAATGCTACAGTCTGAATGTTTGTGTCCTCCCACCCTATACCCACCCCCAAATATGTTAAAACCTAAACCGTAATGTGGAGGCACAAAGAGGCAGGGCCTTTGGGTGATTGATTCTGAGGGCTTATCCTCATGGATAGGATGAATGCCTTTATAAAAGAGATCCAGGAGCTTGCTGGCCCCTTCTGCCACAAGAGACACAGCAGAAAGTTGCCATCTATGAGGAAGATATACGGGCACTTTGATCTTGGAGTTTTGAACCTCCAGTGAGAAATATATGACTGTTTTATGTTAAAAAGCCTAAGATATTTTGTTGTAGCAACCCAAACAGAGACCATAGTATATTTTATTTAGTAAGTAAATTAATACATAAAGGATTTCTGCTGTGTATTAGAAATGCTGAAGTGATCAATCTCCATGAAATGTATATTCTAATAGAAGAAAAAGACATTGAAGTCTTAATTTAGTATAGAATTGCCTTGTGACCTACTCTACAAAGAAGCTGATAACGAGGTTGTGAAGCAAGATGTCTGACCTCGTTAGGAATCAGGGTCAGCTTCCTGGAGGAAGAAGCAGTGCCTGAGAACTAAAACATGAACAGGAATTAAATACTGAAGGCAGAAAGAGAAGACAATGTGCGAAGACATTGAGAAGAAAAGGCACAGAACACATTAGAGGGACTCAAACAGCCAGAATGACTGATGAGGGAAGGCTGAGAGGTGGACAAGCTATGTAAGTTATGCAGGCCCTGAGGGTTAGCAGGTTTAAAACAGGGATGGAACGATTAGATCTGCATTTTTATAAGATTACTCTAGCTGCTGCAGCCTGGAGAATAAGTTGTTGGGAATGCAAGAATAAAAACTAGGAAAGACAGAAGAATGCTATTACATTATTCCAGGCAAGAGAGATAATGAGAGTGTGAAGGACGTTGCAGCACTGGAAATGGGGTAAAGGGGGGTTAGAGAGATGTTTTAGCAATAATTATTACAGGCCTCGCTGACTGATTGGAACCAACCCCAAGAATTCTGGTGTCAGTGGATCAGTGACAGCACCGTTTCTCACAAAGAATATTGAGAAAGTCCACGGTGAGAGGCAGTCTGGTCTGTGAGGGAGGCAGACATGTAAAGCGATCACACCACTGGGATGCGTGGCACTACAGAGACAGAGAAGTCAGCAAAGCCTCCACTGAAAAGGCAATAATGGGCTGGGTCTTGAAGAAGAGAAGGATTTTTTTTCTCTTTTAGACCTCTCCTTTCACACTCTCTTAGTCAAAGAAAT